AGCCGACTAAGCTCAAGCATTGCTTGAACTTAATAATAGGTAGAGGCTTGGTGAGCATATCTGCTGGATTCTCCAATGTATGAATCTTCTGAACGACTATATCTCCCGCAGCTACAACATCTCGAATAAAATGATATCTGACATCAATGTGTTTGGTTTTGGCATGATAGGTATCATTCTTGGTGAGATGAATAGCACTTTGACTATCAGAGAACACAATAGTGTGACCTTGTGAAACACCAAGTTCCATAACCAAACCTCGTAGCCAAGTAGCTTCTTTGACACCCTCTGTGGCTGCAATATATTCCGCCTCAGTCGTAGATAACGCAGCAATAGACTGAAGCGTAGCTTTCCAACTGATAGCACAATTACAAAGAGTGAAAATATAACTGGAAAGCGATCGACGTCTGTCAAGATCACCACCATAATCAGAATCTACAAAGCCCACAATGTCAGTAGATGCAGAAGAATTTCGATCAAAAACCAAGCCCAAAGACGAAGTACCCTTTAGGTACCGTAGAATCCATTTAACGGCGTTCCAATGTTCCTTACCAGGGTTATGCATGTAACGACTCACAACACTTACAGCATGAGCCAAATCAGGTCTAGTGCATACCATAGCATACATAAGACTTCCAACAGCACTAGAGTAAGGAACTTTTGACATATAAGCCACATCAACATCAGACTTAGGGCATGAACCAGAGGATACCTTAAAATGTGCACCAAGTGGAGTAGACACAGGTTTACAAGTGGACATATTGAATCGATCAAGCACCTTCTCAACATACTTTTTCTGGGATAGATAAAGTTTACCCGCTTGACGATCCCTGTGTATCTCCATGCCAAGAATCTTCTTTGCTGCACCGAGGTCTTTCATCTCAAACTCATTGCTTAGTTGAGACTTCAACTCATCAACCAGAGACATATCAGGGGAAGCAATGAGCATATCATCAACATAAAGAAGCAAATAGACAAAAGACCCTTTAGAAAATTCTTTAAAATAGACACAACTATCATACTGGCTTCTTGAGAATCCTTGCCCCAACATACACGCATCAAACCGCTTATACCATTGCCTTGGAGCTTGCTTTAGCCCATAAAGAGATTTTTGTAGACGGCAGACACAATGTTCCTTCCCAGGAACTTCAAATCCTTCAGGTTGGTACATGTAAAGTTCTTCATCAAGCTCTCCATGTAGGAAAGCAGTCTTTACATCAAGTTGCTCCAACTCCAAATCAAAAAGAGCAACAAAAGCAAGTAGAACACGTATAGAAGTATGACGAACAACTGGAGAAAAAATCTCGTTAAAGTCAATACCTTCACGTTGATCAAAACCTCGAACAACTAACCGTGCCTTCCACCGTGCTTTCTCAACCCCAGGAATGCCTTCTTTCTTTTTGTAAATCCACTTACAGCTCAATGGGCGTTTACCTTTCGGCAACTCTACCAGCTCCCAAGTCTCATTCTTATGGAGACTTTCCATCTCTTCTTGCATAGCAACCAACCACTTGGACGAGTTGGCACAGGAAATAGCTTCAGAATAGCAGGATGGATCACCATCAACCTCCTGTGCAACTGAAAGAGCATAAGCAACCAAGTGGGTTTCATCGTCACTAGCATACCTAGCAGGTTTTTTAATTGTCCTCCTAGGCCGATCTTGGGCAATAGAGTACTCTCGCTGTGGCTCGACGAGAGGTGCGGTACTTGTAGATGCATCATCTTTAGTATTACCATTAGTGGTAGTAATACTATCATTAGGCCTGAAATCAAACTCCACCTTATCACCAGTACTCTGCGTCTCATCTGTACTGGAATCTTTTTCAGAAGAAAGTAGTGCATTTTCGTCAAAAGTGATATCTCGACTCAGAATGATTTTATGAGAATCAGGAGACCATAGACGATACCCTTTTGACTCAGAAGCATAACCAAGGAAAATGCATTTGACAGCTCTCGGGTTTAATTTACCCGTACTGGAATGAGCATAAGCAGGACATCCAAAAACTCTTAAGATAGAGTAGTCAACAGGATTACCTGACCAAACTTCTTCTGGAATTTTGAAATCAAGGGATGAGTGTGGAGATCTATTTACCAAATAGCAAGCAGTAGAAACGGCCTCGGCCCAAAAATCACGCCGTTTCCATAACCCAGCATTAGAGAGCATACAACGAGCTCTTTCCAATAGAGTCCTGTTCAAACGTTCGGCAACACCATTCTGCTGGGGTTTACCAGGCAAGGTCTTGTGCCTGGCGATTCCATTTGCTGCACAAAAGTCATTGAAATCTGACTCACAGAACTCCAAGCCATTGTCTGTCCTGAGCTTCTTGACCTTTTTACCTGTCTGAGTCTCAACGAGTATTTTCCACGTCTTGAAAATAGAAAATGCCTGATTTTTATGTTTCAGGAAATAGACCCAGACTTTACGAGAAAATTCATCAATAATAGACATAAAATATCTACAGCCTCCCATAGACTGGAATTTAGTCGGTCCCCATAAATCGGAATGTATATATTCCAATACATCTTTGGTACGATGTGTAGCAGTAGAGAAACTAACCCTCTTTTGTTTCCCAAAAACACAATGCTCACAAAATTGTAATTTACCCGTACCTGAACCACCAAGGAAGCCTTTCTTGCTCAGGAGATGCATGCCTTTCTCACTCATATGTCCCAGACGCATATGCCATAATTGAGTGAGATCCGCATCAGACATCGATGAGGATACCGCTACTGAACCTGTCACAGTACTGCCATGCAACACGTACAAGCTTCCAGAACGAGAAGCTTTCATGAGAACAAGAGAGCCTTTTATGATTTTCAGAACTCCACCTTCAGCTATGTACTTGCACCCCAGAGATTCCAAGGTGCCCAAGGATATCAGATTGCGTTTCAAATCAGGAATATACCGAACATTGGTAAGAGTCCTGACAACATTATCATGAGTTTTAATCTGAACACTTCCAATTCCACTAACCTTGCATTGGGTATCATTACCCATCAAGACAACTCCACCATCAACCGGTTCTAGAGAGACGAACCAGTCTTTGTGAGGACACATGTGGAATGTACAACCAGAGTCTAGAATCCACTCAGTTTTACTCCGTTTGTCACCGGAGCTAACAGATAACATAACATCACCTTCTGAATCACTTTCAACAACACTAGCTTCAGCAGACTTCTTTTCTCTCTCTTGTTTGTTTTTCAACTTGAAGCATTCAGTCACATCATGACCCTGCTTCTTGCAGTACTTACAGGATTTGTTGGACTTACGTCCTTTGGACTTGGATCTAGATTTTTTATTGCTACTCTCTGTTTCAAGTGAACGACCCCTTACAATTAAGCCTTCTCCTTTGTCCTCAGACTTAATTTCAAAATCAAACTTTTCTTTGGACAATAGGTTTGACTTAACAGTGTCGAAAGTAAGGGTGTTACTACTATTACCATACAGCATAATTTCTTTGAAATGCATGTATGATTTAGGGAGAGAGACAAGCAATAAAACAGCACGATTCTCATCTTCAATTACGACATCAATATTCTCCAAGTCCAATAAAATAGAATTAAATTCATCCAAATGAGATTTAATCGAAGTACCTTCCGTCATGCGGATTGTGTATAGACGCTCCTTCAGGCGTAGCTTGTTTGCCATAGTTTTGGCCATGTAAAGCGTATCCAGCTTGGACCATAATTCTGACGCAGTCGTCTCACTTAATACCTCACGTATAACCTCTTTAGACAGGCACAAAAGGATGGTTGAACGAGCCTTGTCATCCAAATCTTCCCAAGTTTCATCTGTCATTGCAGCCAGTTTCTTCTTCTTCCCAGCTAGCGCTTTCTTCAAACCGTTCTGGGTTAGAACGGCTTCCATCTGAACCTTCCAGATAGAGAAGCTAATTTTCCCGTCAAACTTCTCGATATCGAACTTAGTAACAGTCGACATCTTTGAAAATAACTCTCAATTAAACCGCTCTGATACCACTTGTTAGGAATATAGCGGAATAATGCGGAAGCGAAGAATCGAAAATTGAGAATTATAGAAGTTAAATAATAGGGGAGAATATAATAAATGACAAAATAAATTAATAAAGTGGGAAAATATAAATATATATATATTAATCTCTTATAAAGAGAAAACAAAGGAATATATATATACTCTACGTATGATAAAGAAGAAAGAATGAATGAATTGATGTTGCATGAATTACAAAAGTTAAACAACTATTTATACAATTAAAAGTGAGAGAGCTATGCGGCATTTGCGTGAAGCTCCGCAACAATCGGTGATGGCATGCAATATGACGTGCAAGAAGTGAAGACATGCATAGCGACGTGGATGGAAGTGGTCTCCACAGGTTTGAGCCACAAAATTTATTATTTTCTAACAATATATATATATATATATATATATATATATATATATATATATATATATATATATATATATATGAAAAAGATATACCAATATATATCAACCGAAATTGGAACTAATAATCCTCAGATTATAAATCCAATCCACAACTAAATCATATAGAGAGAGGATTTTGCTTAGAAGCATAATCCAAAACCGAAAGAAGGAAAAGATGGCTCGTGTATAGGTATAGGGCTTTTAGCGTGAGTCAAGAGACCACTCTTTCCTTAAACTTGTGAAGAATCTTCTCTCTAAGGTTCCCTCGGCTTTGGTAAGTTACCGGTGTACACCACCGATCGTGGGGTTTCCTTTCATGGACACCATGAACGGAGAACCACCGTCTAACACCCCTCCGGTGGCGGAAGGGGTAACGAGACAGACCACGAACCTAGGGAAAAGGATTAAGATCCTCAAGCGCTCGTTCGCAGAGACCATATCCGCGGCTCCGTCCTTACCAGAAGATGAAAACATGTCGTAAGAAACTGATACCGACTGGTTGGACGAAGACATCGTGGTACGCTCCGATGAAGAGTCTGAGGATGTAAGGGAGGGGATCCCGGTTGTCAAATTCTCGAAAACGGAAAGGGAAGAGATGATTAAGCCTTGGAAGAGAGCCTTAATCATCAAGTTCCTCGGTAAACCTCCAGCTTTTAATATCCTCCAACAGCGTCTCTTCCGCTTTTGGAATATCAATGACAAAGCGGTGATGTTAGACATTGGCGGAGGATGCTATGTTGTGCGATTCACCCTTGCGGCTGACTATAGACACGTCCTCTTGGACGGGCCAAGGAAGGTTTACAACTGCTATGCCATCCCACAAAGATGGCAACCGGACTTTGATCCCTTCACGGCAAAGATGGAAAAGATTACGGTTTGGGTTCGGCTTCCAGGGCTACCTGTGGAATACTTTCAAGAATCCAAAGCGAGGAAAATTTTGAGTTTTATCGAGAAGCCTATGAAACTGGATTTAAACACCTCCGGGGTGGAAAAAGTCAGATTTGCAAGGGCTGCGGTTGAAGTTGATCTCCGGAAGCCGCTTGTGTCTATGGTCTGGGTGAGCGATAGAGTCCAACCAGTGGAGTACGAAGGGCTCCATGTTATTTGCTTTGAATGCGGGGAAGTTGGACATGCCTCATCCAAATGTCCAAAAAATGTGGAGACGGTAGACCCAAACCAAACTTCACAGAGACCAGAAGAGGTGATGGAAACGTCTGAGGTTCAAGAGGTGGCGCCGGTGGAAAAACTCGCGCCAAATACGGCCCTTGGATGATCGTTTCCTACAAATCAGACAAGACGCCTACGAAGGGCCAGTCTAGAGGCAGCAATACCAAAAGACAAGGACCCAAAACGGTGAATGCTCACATCTCCAAATAGAAAAGCCACAACAGCAGTAAGAAAACGTCCAGTGGACGTCAACCTGCGGCATCTCAAACGACATCCAAGAAGGGTCAGGTAAGTCATACTCCTCCTCCTGTTCCAGTAAGTAATGGTTTTTCGGTTCTGCAGGATGGCGAAGATCTCCATGAAACGCCAATTCTTGTGGAAGGTGAATCTAGTGCAGGGATCATGGTCCAAAACAGAGATGGTCCCAAACAAAGGGGAAGGAATAAGAAAAATTCTAAAAAGGCGAAGCCAACCAACAAGGAAAAGGGGACGCCAATCCTTGTTACCACAGAAAACCAGCCAACAGCCATGCAGCCGGCTGCTAGACATCCTAATATGGGGGGTCCCTTTGTGTTCGGCTTGGCACCAGGCAGCAATTCGGCTTCTCATCTGTCGGGTGGTACTCCTCAAGGGTCAAGTTCTTTGACTACGCATAAGGAAGGCGGTGTCCTAACTTCCTTGTCGCTGAATGGTGATCAATGACTGCGATCGCTTGGAATTGTCGGGGTATAGAAAACCAGGAGACTATCCGCCACGCAAAAATCCTTGTTACCAATAAGGATGTGGGGGCCATTTGCTTTCTGGAAACCAAAACTAATAAGGCTGACAAGATTCTCAGAACGCTTGGTAAGTTGGGATTTCATAACTCGTTTATGGTTAACACCCTCGGTTTTGCAGGAGGGCTTCTCTTGGTTTGGAATAAAGATATCTTGGACCTGGAAGTGGTCAATAGTAACTCCCAGACGATCCATTGTAAGGTGTTAGAAGGAGGAGTCTCGCAATTTCTCCTTTCCTTTGCCTACGTCAGACCCAATCCAAGGGCTAAAGAGCTTTTTTGGGCAGATTGCAAAGACTTCGGAACTTCTAGTTCAGGTCCATGGGTGATTCTTGGGGACTTTAATGACATTGCAAGGACTTCAAATCATTGGGGTTCTGACCACATACACTTGGGTAATATGACAAGATTTGGTGAGGCCGTGGAAGCTTGTGGGCTCATAGAAACACCTTCCATGGGACCTAACTTTACCTGGATTAGACAAATTGGTGGGCGCACGGTGACCAGGCGCAAATTGGATCGTGTCTTCTGGAATTTTGAAGCTCAAGAAGCCTTTCAGGAAGCCAAGGCAAGGGTCTTGCCAAGAACGCATTCTGACCACCACCCTATCTCCTTCGTGAGAGTGGCAGGTTCAGCCCCTAACCGTAGAAATAAACCCTTCAGATTTGAGGCAGCATGGCTCACTCATGAGGACTATAGAGAGGTTTGGAAGACAACGTGGACAAGGAACCCCCACAACATCACGGGAGCTATTAATGACGTTACCAACCTTAGTAAAAAATGGAACGAAGATGTCTTCGGTAACATTTTCAAAAGGAAAAGGCTCCTTCAAGCAAGGTTGCATGGCATTCAGTCATTTGAATGGTATAGCAGATCTCGTGGCCTTCAGGTCCTGGAGAGAAAACTCATGATAGACCTTAACCGAACGCTTGCCCAGGAGGAATTATTCTGGTTTCAGAAGTCTAGGAAGGCCTGGATCCAAGATGGCGATAAGAATACCAGTTTCTATCACCGGGCCACTGTCATTCGAAGAAGCAGGGGGAGAATCAAATCATTGAAAATCAACGGTGAGTGGAACTCTGAGCCCAATATCCTCAAAGATCACGTTACTCATTTTTTTTCTAGTCTTTTTTGCAGGTTCAACCAGGCGAGGCCACGTACCCTAGGCACCCATGCGGGGCCAAGGATTTCTCAGGACGAAGCTCACAGGCTTATCAGGTTGGCCGATAATATGGAGGTCAAGAAAGCCATCTTTGGGATGAAAAGAATGGGTAATCCAGGCCCAGATGGCATCCACGCCGCTTTCTACCAAGACTATTGGGATGAGGTAGGTAATAGTATCACGATGTTTGTCAATGAGGCCTTGACCTCAGGTAAGGTCCCTACGAACTTCCTTGAATCTTTTATTACCCTTATCCCGAAAAAGCCAAATCCGGAAACTGCTGCTGACTTTCGGCCCATCACGTTGCTTAACGTTATCTTTAAAATTGTTTCAAAAGTCCTTGTTAATAGGATGAGGCCTCTCATGAGAAAACTGGTGGGCCCCCACCAGAACAACTTCCTACCCGGGAGATCTACTCTTGATAATATTGTCCTCACCCAGGAAATTATTCACAGTATTAATCACAAGAAAGGTAAAAAAGGTTCCTTGGTGATGAAGATTGACCTACACAAGGCTTATGACAGCATAGACTGGGATTTCCTGGATATTGTTCTCTCCGACTTTGGGTTTCCTAGAGGCTTAATCAACCTGGTGTTATTCTCTCTTAAGGAAAGCTCCATCAGCATTCTTTGGAACGGGGAAAAGCTCCCACCTTTTGGAGCTGGTAGAGGGCTGAGGCAAGGCGACCCGCTCGCCCCTTATCTCTTCATTCTTTCCATGGAAAAACTCTCCTACGTAATACAGGAACAAGTCCAGTTAAGGAGATGGAAACCGGTCCACATTTCTAGAGGAGGCATTGGCATTTCCCACCTTTTCTTCGCGGACGACTTGATGCTTTTTGGGGAAGCAACAGACAACCAAATTTCCACCACTATGGAGTGCCTTAACAATTTTTCCCTTTGGTCAGGTTTGAACATTAATCTCTCTAAATCGCTTATTTACTGTTCCCCTAACACTCTCAACAGGACCAAGCGAAGGATGGGAGAAATATCCAACATCCCTGTCACCGAGAACCTGGGTAAGTACCTAGGGATTCCCATCCTCCAAAAAAGGGTAAGCAAGAACCACTTCGCTTACATCCTCGATAACATGAAAGGGAAGCTGAACAGGTGGAAAGCTGACACCTTAAGCTTAGCCGACCGGAGAATCCTGGTTCAATCTGCCCTGGCAACGGTCCCGGTCTATACCATGCAAACGGTGGCGCTCCCGCTAAGTACTTGTAACAACATTGATAAAATTTGCAGGGACTTCCTCTGGGGCTCAGATGAAAACAAAAGGAAGATTCACCCCATCAACTGGAGAGAAGTTTGCAAACCTAGGGTGCAAGGTGGACTGGGTCTTAGAATGGCTAAAGAGTTCAATCTGGCTCTCCTAGCGAAGCTTGCTTGGCAAACCTTGAACAACCCGGATAAGATCTGGGTTAAAGCCATGACTCAAAAATATATTCAAAATGATAATTTCTTCACCACCCGCACTCCCCTGAACGCCTCTTGGACCTGGAAAAGTATTATCAAAGGGCGTTCAGTCATCGAGATCGAGACCCGATGGCGAATAGGAAATGGTGAATCCTTAGATTTTTGGTCGGACTGGTGGGTCAGTGACAAACCTCTTGGGCTCGAAATGAATGTGGACATCCCCGACCATCTCTGCAATAAACAGGTCAGTGACTTTATCACCCAAGATCGCACCTGGAACGTGGATGACTTGATAGATTTCCTGCCGCCCGAGCTTGTCAATAAAATCCGGGCCATCCCTCTACCAGTTGACGAAACAACAACTGACCGCCTAGTTTGGCCGGATTCCACTACAGGTACTTTCTCTGTCTTCTCTGCTTATAATTCTATTGCAGGTTCCTCTATGGTCGATGAGAGCTGGGATTGGTTGTGGAAAATGAAAGTTATTGAGAAGGTCAAATCCTTCTTATGGCTGCTGTTGAAGGATAAACTACTCACTGGAGTAGAGAGGAAAATCAGGTCCATGACCACGGATAATTCCTGCAAGCGCTGCCCGGACAACGAGGAGTCGGTGGATCACATTTTCAGAAAATGCCACTTCGCGTTGGACTGCTGGGAAGTTGCAAGGAACCATGGCGGTGCAGCTTTAGACGTTCTCAGACCGGTGAATTGTTGGATCAAAAATAACTGCATGAGCAAAGCCAAAATGGAAGAGGATACTCCATGGAATATAACCTTCATGTACATGATTTGGCTTATCTGGAAAGCTAGAAACAAGTTTATCTTTGACAACAAAGCAGGATCTCCCGAATTTGTTTTCAAAACTGCTCTTTCAATGGCCAAGGAGGCCAGACTCCTCATCGTAACACATGCAGGAATGTCTCAAGGTAGTTGGAAGTGGATTAAGTGGTTACCTCCTCAACCAGATTGGCTAAAACTTAACTCGGATGGAGCCATGAAGACCAACACGGGAATTGCTAGTGCGGGGGGTCTCGTTCGGGATGATCACGGTCGTTGGGTGACAGGGTTCGCAACCAAGATAGGGATTGCTGACAGCTTCTCAGCAGAGCTGTGGGGCCTAAGGGAAGGTCTACGGCTCTGTCTGAGAGAGGGATTTGGGAAGATTTGGATTGAAATGGATTCGGCGGCGGTGGTCGCAATTCTGAATCGGGGGAATTATGAAGAAGAGTCAGTCATAACTCTTATCAAAGACTGCTTTGATCTCATCGGGAAGTTTAATATGGTTAGGATTTCCCACATCGAAAGGGAGGGGAATCAATGTGCGGATTGGCTGGCCAATCTTGGTCAGAATGTGGCTTGGGGGACTCTCGTTCTAGATTTCCCCCCGGTGGAGCTCAACGCCTTACTCGATGTTGATACCCGTGGTAGGCTTGTTCCAAGGATCCGTTAATGTCTTCTTATGAGGGCTCCAAATGTACCCAATATATATATATATATATATATATATATATATATATATATATATATATATATATATATATATATATATATATATATATATATATATATATGAAAAAGATATACCAATATATATCAACCGAAATTGGAACTAATAATCCTCAGATTATAAATCCAATCCACAACTAAATCATATAGAGAGAGGATTTTGCTTAGAAGCATAATCCAAAACCGAAAGAAGGAAAAGATGACTCGTGTATAGGTATAGGGTTTTTAGCGTGAGTCAAGAGACCACTCTTTCCTTAAAACCTTATTTGCCACCTCCCACAAGTGCTAGGTGCGACATGGCCTAGGTTTCCCAGGATAAAACGCCCTACAGTTCGACGTTTGAGCACCCAAAAGAGCGAACCCGGCGAACTAGAGCAAAGCCTTGAACACAGTTAGGCTTAAGAAAGGAGTAGAAGTAGAAGTATTTTGAAGCTGAAAAACCAAATTTCGTGTGTGAGTTTGTTCACTGTGTCGTTAGAAAATCTGCTGCCCTCTATCCCTTCTTATATAGGGATGTAGTACTTTAATAGCATTAAACAGTGCCATTTAAGCTTGGCTTTGTAACAACTGAAACAGCAAGCCATTACCCAGGGCTTAAATTCAAAATTGAAATTGGAGTTAATTAAAAATTAAATCCGTAACTGAAGAATTTAATCCCACATTTGTCAATCCGTAACTGATGAATTTAATCCCACATTTATCTGTTGGCATTCAGCCACCCGAGACTGGCTAAGTTTTGGCCCCAGGCCGAAACCATACTGCTCCAGTTTTGGCCTGGCCGAAACTACAGGCCAAGTTTCGGCCTCCCTGGCCGAAACTAACCAAGTTTTGGCCTGGCCGAAAC